GCGATGCCCCCCCTCTAGAATGCGAAAGACCTGGAGTTCGCCGGAATCTCCCGCGCAACAGCAGCAGCTGTGTCACAAAACTTATCCGAACCAACAACCCCTATCACGGCGATTGATCCGGCCGCGTCGGCTCTGAAACTGCGGAACCCCCTCCCTCCCTCCCTCCCTCTCGTCCCCTCCTCTCAATTTCGATTGTTGCATGTTTGCCCCCTTCATGGATTTCGTTCCCGAGTGCTCACATGCTTCGCCACGACAATTCTGAAGAGCGGCGAAACTGAACTCTCTTGCCGCGTTCGTTTTGTCGTTCCCGCCGCGGCTTGCACTGCTGTACGTGTGTGTGTGTTTTAAATGTTGCGGCGGCACGTGTGCATCCGTACCTACGTCCAACGCTTTTTTTTTTTTTTTCATCCTTCTTTCTTTCCTTCCTTCTACCGCAGTTCCAGCTGCACGCGGTCCGCAGAAAGAAGGGATACCGGGCGCTCAAGCTTGGTCTGGCGGAGCTTACGAACGAGGTGAGTTTGACCTCCCCCCCCCCCATTGGGATCGATTTTCCCAAGTCTCAGCGGGAAGAATTTGGGCTCTGCTCTTACTGTGGTTGCTGGCTCTATTGCAAGGAAGTCTCACGTGGAGGGCTGTGCGAAAAGGTGTCGTTGGGGTTGTGTGGGGGGGGTTAAGTAGATGTGCCGTTTGGTGTTGTGTTGGAACTGGAACTGGGGTTCTCGTGGGGAGCTGAACAAGGGCCAGGGGTTTAGGGTGTGGCTCTGAGGCGTGCGCCGTCGTGCACGACCGGGGTGTGCGACTGCCATGTGTTGTGTAGTGTCGAATCGAACCAGCAGTAACATCATCAAGAACAAGAAAAAGAAGAGAAAAAGAGCGATAAGAAGAAGAACAAGCAATAGTACGAAGAAGAACAAGAGCAAGAAAAGAGTAAGAACAAGAAGAACAAGAAGAACAAGAACAAGATCAAGAAAAGAGTAAGAACAAGAAGAACAAGAATAAGAAGAACAAGAATAGAGAAAGAACAAGAAGAACAAGAATGAGAACAAATAGAACAACACCAATACCATTAACACAGCAACACTAACGACGACAGCATCTTTTGGTTGTGTTTTTGCAGGTCCAGGCTAAAGAGACGATGATGACTATTCTGACGGTCTGCATGCTGGGGACAAGCTCCATCTTGGAAGGCATGGACGCCACGCTCGATGCTCAGGTAAAGCCTCCCCCCCCTCCCCGCGTCGGTTCCCGCAGGTAGTCTTAAGTGGACGGGAGGGAGCACAGCAGTCCCACAGACACCCAACTGCTCCCCCACGAAACGCTTCTTTTCCACACCCACCCTATTTCGCGCCGAATACCTCTCCGCGCTTCCCCCTTGGTGATGTGGTGCTAACCTGGTCCGGTGAGAACCCGGTATGCGCCGTTCCGGCTTTGTAGGGATGCCAGGTCATCAATGGTCTAACGACTTCGGCATGCACGGCTAAGAGTACACCCCCCCCCCCCCCCCCCCCCCGGGCGGGGGGGGGAGGGGGCCCCCAAAATTCCCAAACGGGCCCCTTGTAAAACCAACAAAATTAAGGGTTTTAAAAAGGGAAACC